CCCTGCCTGCCCTGCCTGCCCTGCCTGCTGCCCGCCCCGGGTGGGGGAAGCACCGGGACAGGCCCAGCACCGTGCAGCAGTTTAGGGGGGGCGATCCCAAAGGACACCCCCGGTACCACACGGCCTGTCACCAAATTCAGACAGTGCCACCTCACCCTGCAGATTCTCCGGTGTCTGCTACAGGGCTGTGCGCGGGGAGCAGCCTCTACAAGGGGCACAGCCGGAGGAGAGCAGACCCCATCTGTCTGCTGTCACCGGCCTCATCAAAGTCTTGTAAAACAATAGCGAAGTCAATGGGCTGCGGGAGCCAGATTAGCTGTTTCTTTGCCCTGAGCTGCCGTAAAGCTCATTCATCCGGCTAGAAGAGGGTTTGTCACTGCGGGATGAGCAGAGCAGCACCGAACAGGATCCTGCCCTGAAGAAAAGGGCTGCAGCTGGGGTACCCCTGTGGATTCAGGGCTCCCCAAAGGTCCCACCAGCCTCCACCTCCAACAGGCAGCTTCTACACATTCACAGGCTGGTACAGTCCCACTTGGACCTCCCTTCCACCCACAGGTACCCCATGAAAATGCCCCTTCAAGCCAGAGGTATAAGGAAGAATCAGAATCTCTGGGTTATTTTAGAGCAATAAATAACTTTACTGAATTAAGCGAATCTCCTGAAATGATATATAATATGCTGCTTTCTTGATTGGCTGTTATTAATAATGCATTGCTCAATCTAAACCATTCATAAAATTACTCCCTGCTAGCCCTGAGCAAAGTGCTTTGGGACTCAGGAAGGGGGAAAAAAAGGCAAGAAGGAGCAGCATAAATCCTTTCTGTTTATGAAAATGGATTTCTTCCCCCAACAATCATGCAAAACTAATTATAGCCAAAGGGCTGGTTCCTCTGCATTTGATTATGCCCTGCAAGCTCGCTCAGTTTGACTGACCAGTGCGGGTGGAAGTCCAAGGCAGAGGAGGCTTCGCCCCAGTGAGCCTGAGAAAGGTTACCTGGATTATATTTCTAACAAAAACATCATCCTGCTAACATCCAAACAGATTTGCATCCCATGAACCACCAAGAGGAAGGACAGGGTGGACAGGACTCTTGAATATTTGGAGAAGTGGTGAGGTAAAGCTGAGGGGAAGCCTTATTTAGATGGAAGGAGAAGCCACATTGTCTCTGGCTGGGCAGGTCCTGCAGCCAGGGTGCTCCCAGGGTGGTGGTGGCTCAGGCACTCACCTGATCTCAGAGGAGCTGGCTTGGGGCTAGAAGTTAGAGAAGCCAGGAGAGCCCAAACTAGGGGGTCACCCTTCTCCCGAAATAACCAGTGTGTCTGACCAGAATGGTGAGGAGGGCTCCTCCCTCAGACACAAGTTGGAGGTTAATGGTGTAAATCAGCAAACCCTCAACGACCGCAGTGGTGATCCGGTGATACCTCCAGCTGAGAGGCTGCCCTCATTTATACTAGTGGGGGACGTGTCCCCAGACGTGCAATGGTCAACACCAGCTGTGGACCTGGCCCCCAGCCCAGCTTCTACTTGTCACGTGTTCAGGAGCATGTTGAAGCTTAGGGTGCCTGGGTGCCGCGATTGAGAGACGGGACACAGCTTGATGCAAGCAGAGTCAGAGAGTTTATTGCAGACATCACTCATTTATATAGAAAGTTAGAAGAAATCAGAAGACACTTGTCTTACATTGATTGGTTACTATACTACAACATTCTTTATCAATGCTCGTTGATTGGCAGTTAATTAAAGCTTTAACAACAGGACTGTTTACAACTAAGTTGTTTTTGAAGACACTAAGTTGTTTTTCAGAGACTTTATATTTTCTTCTCTGGCGGCACATGACTCATAGGGGCAGTAACTCTCCTCCACATCGTCGCTTCTTTACTCCCCTTATCAGGCTGCCCAAGGCTTATGGCCTGCAAGTTCTAGTAACATCCCCTTCTAACAACAACAGTGAAGCAGGGCGCACTGTCCTGTCTGCTTCTTTCAAGTCCTGTCCCACACCTGGGACTGAGGGGGTTGTGGTGTGAGGAGAGGTTGGCAGCCCCAGAGCCTGCTTATCCATCCATCCATCCATCCATCCATCCATCCATCCATCCATCCATCCATCCATCCACCAATCCTTTCATCCTCCACCTCCTGTCTTGGAGCTCTCCTCTGAGGGGACTGAAGAGCCACCACAGAGCGTTGTTGTTACTCCTTGTGCTCAGCCCATGAGCATGAGTGGTGACGCAAACCCCACATGTCATGTCCGCTGGGGAGGCAGGTAGATTGAAGGCCTAACCCATGCCATGCCCCTTCATGCTATGATGCTGCTCAAGTGTCTAGGTTAGAGTCTGGCCCTCAGAAGTGTGAGGAGGGATGCGTCATCCCTCCCTTCACACGTGCCTCATCCCCTGACCCATTTCTAGCAAAACACGCTGCCTCCAATGCCCCTGAAACCCTTCCACTGAATCTAGGACACCTGGGTTTCTTCCTCTTGCATGATGAATGAAGTCATCTTGGGAAGAGCTCAGTGTTGTGTGGTGGATAGCAGCCAAGACAGAAAACAAGCATCCTCTCTGTGTTGGTCACGTCCTTGTGGCATTTTAACCTACTTCCATGCTCCTCAAAGCAAACTTGCAGTCCCTGTGACACCCACCTGAGCTCTGCAGCCCAAGTCCCAGCCATGAGCCAACACCAGTAAGGGCTGACCCATGGTCCTGCAGCCCCACAGCAGCACGGGGAGCCTGGGACATGCAATAACCTGACACACAGCAGTGAGGGGCAAGGAGCAGTGTGGGTACATATCTGGTCTGCTTGGAGATGCTGAATCCCCCAAGGGTGCTGCCCCATTGACCACAGGACTTTCTGCTGTGGGGCTGGGGAGAGGCTGACAGTCTGTGGGAGTTCAGAGAGTGAGCAAAACAGGAAAAAATAAAATGCTTATAAACCACAACTCCAAATGCCTGATGCCGTAATTCCCTAAGCTAATTGCTAGTGCCTGGGAGGGTGTCATGGTAAGGATGAGGACATGCTTGGGTGACCAGCCAGCCACGGGGACTGGAGGGAGTGAGTCATGGCTCAAGCCCTGAAGATGCTGAGAGCACAACGGCCCTTCAAACTCCGCTCCGGCAGGAAGGGAGACATGGAAGCGTTGCCCTGTAGATGTCTGTGCTGGATGTGAAGCAACGGCTCCCTCCTGCTTGACCCCTCTGCAGGCCCCTGTAGTCCCCAAAGTGAAGTGGCCTTGTTCATCTGCTGGGGACAGTCCCCTGGACCATGGCCACGGCTTTTCTGGAGGAAATTGGGTTGGGCCAAATCTATACTGGGGAGCACAGTGGCAGCCACGGTGTAGGTGACCACGATGCAACACGTGGACAGTGTTGGTTCACTTGCCTGGAGACAAGGTGGTTTTGGTGGCCACACATCACCCAAGCATCTTGCCCATCCCGTGGGTGTCAGCCACCCGCCAGTCCTCAGCAGGGCTGAGGGGAAACTGAGGCACATCTGACACCAGCCACTTTGGCTGAGGTGGTCCCTGGGCTCAAGGTGTCATGCTGGGGGACTTGGGACATGGCTTCTGGGGGGGTGGAGGTGCCCGGATCCAGCATTGAAGATCAGATCTGTCATTTTGCTGTGAAGGAGCTTCCCCTCTCTGCCCTACCAGTCATCACCCCCCTTCCTGCTCCTCGTCCTTGGGACAACTTGCCCATCCCTGTGGCCTCGGAGATGGGCTCCCCCCGAGGAAGAGGTGATGGGGTTCTTATTCTGCTTGTGAGACTCCCCCAAGACTCCCGGGGCTCCTCACTCTCTGAGCCCCCCCGGGACGTGCACACCCCACGCTGGGGGTAGCCGCAGGGCTGGGCCACAGCTCTGTTGCTGACTGTCGGGACAGAGTCTGGTCGGAGACACCCTGAAGACCGGGCAGCCATGCGGATCCCCTCCCAGAGCTCCCCCCGGCAGAGATCCCGGGCGGCGGAGGGGAGAGGGGGATGGCGGGAGGCAGGCATCGATCCCGCTTACAAAATCAATGTTTTCTCGGGTTTGGCGGGGCGACAAGCGAGGGACAGGGCCGGGGTGTGGTGGGGTGTGTGGGGGGGGGTGTGGACAACAGACCACCACGTCGAGGCAAAACTGCGGCGAGGAGAGGGGGCTCCCCGTTACCGCGCCTTTCCAAGGGGTTGAAACCTTCAGGAGGGAGAATGGCCCCATCCCGAGAACC